TTCACTAAATCTACTCTCTTCAGATTTCGCTTCCTCCTCCCATGGCTTCCTCCACCACCACCACTCTCTCCGATCTCCCTGACGTCATCTTATCCAACATTTTCGCTCTCGTCTCCGATTCTAGAGCTCGCAACTCCCTCTCCCTCGTCTCCCACAAATTCCTCGCTCTCGAAAGATCAACTCGCTCTCTCCTCACTCTCCGTGGCAACGCTCGTGATCTCCACGCCGTTCCTCGTTGTTTCCGATCGATTTCTCACCTCGATCTCTCTTTCCTCTCTCCATGGGGTCACTCTCTTCTCGCTACTCTCCCAATCGATCACCAATCCCTACTCGCTCGTCGTCTCCAGCTCTGTTTCCCTTCCGTCGAGAGTCTCACCGTCTACTCTCGATCTCCGACGTCTCTCGATCTCCTTCTTCCTCAATGGCCGAGGATTCGTCACATCAAGCTCGTTCGATGGCACCAACGCGAGTCTCAGATCTCTTTAGGCGGCGATTTCGTACCTATCTTCGAACACTGTGGTTACATGGAGTCTCTTGATCTCTCTGCTTTCTATCACTGGACGGAAGATTTACCTCCGGTTCTACTCCGGTATGCTGACGTGGCGGCGAGGCTTAATCGATTGGATCTACTCACGGCGTCTTTCACCGAAGGTTACAAATCGAGTGAGATCGTCGATATCACTAAACTTTGCCCTAATTTGAAGGATTTTCGTGTAGCTTGTACGTTTGATCCCAGATACTTTGAATTCGTCGGAGACGAGACTCTCTCCGCCGTAGCTACCAATTGCCCTAAGCTAACGGTTCTACAGATGGTGGATACGGCGTCGCTGGCGAACCCTAGGGCGATTTCAGGTATCGATTCCGGCGACTCAGCGGTCACGACGGGGACGTTGATCGAGGTTTTCTCAGGTTTGCCACATTTAGAAGAGCTTGTGCTTGATGTAGGGAAGAACGTGAAGCATAGTGGTGTACCTTTAGAGGCATTGAACAAGAAATGTAAGAAAATAAGAGCATTGAAGCTAGGACAGTTTCAAGGTGTTTGCTCCGCTACAGATTGGAGGCTCGACGGTGTGGCTTTATGCGGAGGGTTACAGTCGTTGTCGATAAAAAACTCCGGCGATTTGACTGATATGGGTTTGGTGGCTATAGGAAGAGGATGTTGTAAGCTGAGTAAGTTTGAGATTCAAGGTTGTGAGAATGTAACAGTGAAGGGGTTAAGAACAATGGTTACTTTACTGAAAAAGACTTTGATTGATGTGAGTATATCTTGCTGCAAGAATCTAGATGCATCAGCTTCGATAAAAGCGATTGAGCCGATTTGTGATCGGATCAAGAAACTGCATATAGATTGTGTGTGGTCTAGTTCAGGGGAGGAAGAAGAAAGGGTTGAAACAAGCGAGACGAATTACGAAGATGATGGTGAAGAGAGGAGCCACAAGAGGTGCAAGTATTCATCGGAGGAGGAAGAATTACACTGCTCGTCGTTTCCAAGCAGTGATGTGAATGGTTTTTGTTCTGAAGACAGATTATGGGAGAAACTTGAGTATCTGTCTTTATGGATCAGTGTTGGAGAATTTCTGACACCATTACCTATGACTGGTTTAGATGATTGTCCGAATTTGGAAGAGATTAGGATCAAGATAGAAGGAGATTGTCGAGGTAAACGCAGGCCAGACGAGCCAGAGCTCGGGTTAAGCTGTCTCGCTCTCTATCCAAAGCTCTCGAAGATGCAATTAGATTGCGGAGACACAATCGGTTTCGCTTTGACCGCACCGCCAATGCAGATGGATTTGAGCTTGTGGGAGAGATTCTTCTTGACTGGAATCGGAAACTTAAGCTTGAGCGAACTCGATTATTGGCCGCCACAAGACAGAGATGTTAACCAGAGGAGTCTTTCGCTACCCGGTGCAGGTCTCTTACAAGAGTGCTTAACTCTAAGGAAGCTCTTCATCCATGGAACAGCTCATGAACATTTCATGAATTTTCTGTTGAGAATCCCAAACTTAAGAGATGTGCAGCTTAGAGAAGACTATTACCCAGCGCCGGAGAACGATATGAGCACGGAGATGAGAGTTGGTTCGTGTAGTCGATTCGAGGACCAATTGAACAGCCGAAACATCATTGACTGAAACTAAACAGTGAGTTAGCTCTCCACACTATTTATAAATGTAACTAACTTCAAAAACTAGTCTTTGGTTTATTTGCAAATGTGTGGATTGTTATATATGTTTGTGAAAGGAAAGAGTAAAGACAATAAATATATAATTTGCAATGATCACTGATTCAGGAAAAAGACATTTTTATTCAAAACTCAATAGAGATGCCGAACAAGAGACTGAGTACACAGATGCAAAAATTACACCTAATGGCTCAAGAGTTTTTATATAGAGAAAGAACAAAACAATTTTCAAAGCGAATACTCGCATATCGTTAGCTCGGCCAGTATCTCTTTACAGCTCGGTCTTTGCTCTGGTTCCGACCAACAAGCTACAACAAGGCAAAGATTTCATAAGTATCTATCTGTTTACTGAAAAAACAGTTAGGGTTCTAAGAGAAACAACAGTTAGTTTTTGAGTAACTAACCTGCAATAAGTTTGCATAACGGTCCATCAGGTATTTCGAGCCGGGCTCCCTCGTTTGCAACAGTATGAATGACCTGAAAACAAGAAATCGTAGAGCCGGGTTTAGATTCGATGTTTTGTTTAGTTACCAAGTGTTGTTCTTGATTCAACGGACGTACTCTATTGCGGATAAGTTCAGGAGCCATCCACTCAGGAGTTCCTGCAGGTTCAGTGTTCTTCATCGTCATGTCTTTCATAATTCTTGAGAGCCCAAAATCACAGATCTTGACTTTCCCTTGGTCGCTCAACAAGCAGTTCGCACTCTTTAGATCACGGTGGACTATCCCCATCCGGTGGATGCACATCAAACCCCTTCGAACACACAGAGAAATACAAATGATTACAAAATCTCATGAATCTGTTTCTACGTTGTTGATATGGTGAAAATCTGAATGGGGAAGTATTCAATGTAGAAATGAAATACTTGCAAATGTCGCGCAGCATATCTAGTTTCCTTTTCCAGCTGAATTCCTTCTTTTCTCCAGGCGAATAGAGCTTATTATACAAGGACCCGTTTTCCATTAACTCTGTGACTAGTGATAACTGAGGAGGCTTTGTGCATGCTCCAAGGAACAGAATAACTACAAATAGTCGAGATATGTCTATGTTACTTAAAGAAATCATCTAAATTAATGCCTTAAGGATCGTTGGACAAGTAACTGAAGCAAAAAGAAATCGATAATGAATACCATCGGGATGTCGAAGGCGGCTGCACAGTAGAGAAAACAGAAAGAGAGGTCAGAAAGATAAGTCGAGACGTAATTTGCTGCAAACTCAATAGACACATAAAAAATCAAAGAACATGTACCTAAGAATGGATATCTCATTGCAGAAATCTTTTATGTTCTCAACTATAAGGTCTTGCTCAAGAAAAACCTTGATCGCAACATCCGTTCCACTCCAGCTGCCTCGGTAGACTTTTCCAAAACATCCTGGATGGTAAAATACCAACAAAAAGAGTTAGTTGGGTTTAAAGACAAAAGTACACATTTTACTAACTTACCATATCCAAGTTTTTCTTGGTGGATATCTATGGCTCATACAATGGATATATGGAATTCAAAAAATACTCCACATGACTCGATAATAAAACAAATCTCTTACCACGTCCGATAAGAGCCCCAACTTTCACCTCGGAGATATCTATGTTCCATTCATCATATGGTAACAAAGGCTTATTCTGGAACGTAGGAGACCCCAACACTTCATTCAAAATGTCGTTTATGTTTTGATTTGAAGATTCACCCCTGGTTATATCATCTGAAGAGTGAGGAGATGAATCACCTTCTTTCGAGAAGCGACTCTGGTTCGAGGAATTACTCACTCGCATTGCCCTGAAACAGATTATCAAGTTAACTTTTAAGCAGAAGGTATCGACAAAATTACAATACTATTAGCGACAACAGCAGTCGATACAATTGCTACAAACTTGTAATACCATTCATGGAAGATTATACAACATACAGATAAATGCTAGTAAGTGATATTATGTGGTGCTCAATACTTAAGAAAAACAAAAAACAACGCAAGATCTTTGTCTACGTTTTATATTTTCCATAAAAGATTGTACCGCCAATTCTGATCACATACATTTCATTTCATCACAAAAAAAGAATGAATATCAATGATTGTAACCTAATTGGGCACAACCAATGTTGTTCTAGGTTATAAAGCAAACACTTGCCTTGCGATTGCATCACTGTTTTCAGGAGTTGCACTAGGGCTTCTCCTCATTCTCTTAGTTTCCAGTTGTCCTGTTCCACCACTGCACATCAAAACTGAAGACATCAGCATTTTGTACACAATACAACCATTATTTTCCGGCCAAAGCGTTAGTAAAGCACTAAGCCAGACACCAATGATTGCAAGACATAGAATCCACCTAAATATGATTGTTAAGCCAAATACTCTCAAAACGTAACTCGTTCACAGCTTTTGAATTGTAGTCGACTAGACAAGGTTATAGAATAGGCTACAAATCGGAGAAATAGCATGGACTAAATGGTTATCATATTTCACATTATATTTAGTAAAGATCTTTGACAGAATTTAAGGGAACTTGACAATACTGAGAGAAGTAACAATTTAGTATTAAGTATTAACCAAGGTTTATCAAAACCACATCACTCTTGAAAGCACAAATATTATGAAATAATTTTACGACAGAATGCATGTGCATTCAGTTAAATATTGAACTTTAGAATGCATCATTTAACCATACAGGGGACTGTTCGGCTCCAATGGTGAATGACAAGCGCTATTCCATGGTGTTGAGGTATGAGCCATATAAATTGCCTCGGTTGACATGGGTACAAGCTCACCAGGTGTTCGCATAAGGTCGACCAGCATTTCCTCATTATTGAGCACAACCACGACAGAGATATGGTTATGTGAGTCGATTCCTTCAGTTAGATCACTAGGAAAGCCCTGATCAACAAAATTACAGAAATAGCAACCTATCAGCATCAATCAATGACACGTGGAAATGATACACGTAGCTACTAATCACATTTCTATAATCTATAGAGTACTTACCACCACAAGCTTGCTTTTAAGACCAACACTATCAGTTAGAACTTTAAACAAGATGGCTCGAGAACGGCAAGTACCATGTTTGATATCTGCTAGTAGTCGATAACCATGACTGCTAGATGATTGTGAAGTGTTTGCCGGACTATGCGGAGTTTTTCGGGGGTGTACATCTGCCACCTGCCATAAGAATGGAAATTTTCAATAAAGATTCTCTGATAACCTAAAACAGTAAAACAAGATTTGATGAAATGAGATAGAAGATATTTGTTTCCTTATTTAGAACCAAATATTCATTGCATGCAACAACCAGATAAAGTAACAAAATGATATGCACTATAGCCACAATTAGTCTTACTAGCAAACGAGATGATAAATGATATTCTTACCAGTCGAGCAATTTTCTTAATAAACATACGCAGATTTCCCTCTTTAGATTCGACAAGAGCCCACTTCTTTAGCCTAAGAAGCTTTTTATCTGCCTCGAGATCGATATAAATCACATCAGACTCAAGACCTACGTCACCCAGCGCACGAAGTTCGCTTGATGTAGGAAAGCTTTTAAAATGCGTCAATCTCTTATCCTGTTAAAAAAATCAACAATGCAGTTCAGGTAACCAAGTTAATATAAACCTAACTGAGAAATTATTGAGAAGAGATAAATATCATTTCTAAAGATAGCTTACCGGGATCACCGAGTAATAACCACTTGGGATCGGGCCAGAAAACGAGTCAGTACTCCAGAGAATATTCGACGATGACATCCAATCTTCACCAAGACTTCTGGGTGACTCTCTAATCCTAGAGGTTCCTTCTTGTAATCCCACAGAAACAGAACTGAATTTCTCCAAAACTTCTAAAGTCCTCAAATCTGAAGTCGGAGATTCATGTTCCGATGACCCAGTATCATTTCTCGTCTCTTCCGTTTCCATCTCCCTGAGGTCTAAAATCACATAAACCACCATATGACTCCCTCAACAAAAGATGGAAAAAAACCCTAGGTACTAAATATATCGAGAAATCGAACTATCTATACCTCTACCTTGCTCCTGGTGTTCAGCTACCCTGCAAACGC